CACGGCAATGATGGCGACAGAAAATCCGCAAATCCATCGTCTACAGGACTGAAAGGTTGACTGAAATCACAAGTCCGTGGAAATAAATAAGGAATGAAAAATATACATTACATAAGTCTAACGGGACGGAAACCCCTTCTCCAATAATCTTTTCAGACCCGTACTAGCCTCCCCGTCCTCCTTCCACGCCGCTTTCATCTTGTCTTTAATAGCTTCTGCGTTCTTACGTTTTGATTTTCCATCGGCTCCGCGAGAATTTCGAAGTATTTCACGTATTTCAAGCTGAATGGCGTCAACGGTGCCTGTGGGTTGAACACCACGCTTCAAGGCTTTCAGTCCAACATCGCCCGTACGCGCTTCGGTAAGTTGATATCCCACATTGAGGGCAATGGAGATTAGAGCAGCATTGAAGGGCTGATCAAACATTATGGGCCATGCGATTCTGGAAAACATTAACGACTGTAAATTTTCATATTTGGCGACCTACAAAGGAACCCCTTCTGCTAATGACTCGGTGACGCTACTGTGACCATAATGACTTAAGAACCATCCAGTAACCTAACCAACAATATAATTAGTACATTAAGTAAAAAGAATACCAACATGCCTTATGGGCAAGAATAAGCTGTTGAGGAGCCCACGTTGAAAGCAATCCAAGGGTTGACTCTTGTACTTTCTTGATGATCCTATCAGGGACTGCTACCAACTGAGAGCCATATGCATATATCTATACTCAATGAAATCACAGATGATTCAAATTCATTAGTGTAAAACATACGAATGGAACTCTCTCTTCGATCAACACGTCAATCAACCCGCAGATATGATTGACATCAGGCCAGAGAAAACTCCCAAAAGATATCTGAGATAAATTTATGAAGGAGTTAGATTATTGCATTATTAAGACTCACATAGATCAGGGAGTGTTCACCATGCTCGCGCAGATTTCTCTCGAAAAATTCGTGGATTTCAGATACTTTATCGCTGGTCGTCCTTTGGTATTCCTTCGGCATATCATTAATGGAAAGCAAAGGTCCAACGATATATAGTTCTTTCCCTAGGGAGAGCTGCCACTTTTTCAAAGCAGCCAATGCTTCGGCTTCAAAAGCACTAGTACCCGCTGTAACGACCCCGTCTGCTTCACGCATAAATCTACATCAATTATATTAAGTAGAACCCAAAAATTCACTAAGTCACAATACTCACCGATAACCAATCTTGAGAAACAAAATTTCGAGTTCCTCTGCGCCTAGTAACCGCTACTCCCCTGTCAACCACTCATTTCAATGCGTAAAGAAAAAATCTTACCTGTTGTGGGGAGAGTTCATAGTCGTAAATTGGTGGCAATCCTGGGACTTGGATTAGTGTACCATCTTTAAAATTAAGTAACTGATAGAATCAAGAAACCCAATATTAGCAAGTAAACCATTTTAGGAAAGTCTCACACAAACATGATTCTCGATTTCCTTTACGGGCTTGCCAGTTTGTCCTGCATCCAGAAGCGCTTTCGCGGCGATATCTCCCACTCCACCCAGGTCTTCAGGACCACAAGCGCGGAGTGAATGAGAATTGTTATCGGGGATCGATCCCAAAATGGTGATAGCAGGGTCAATGGAACGGATTCCGTTTATTATATCTAAACAGGTCTATAACACGCAGAACATAGATTCAGTCTATATCATAGTGGTAATGAAAACTGAACATACATCCGATATGACAACTTCAGGCTTAGGCCAAGATTGGAAAATCCTTCCCGAGAGGAGGCATTTTGCATTATCTTGCCTGTACATTGACTCCATAAAATAAAGGCAAGCGCTTGGCGCATCAGCTATACTCTCCCACATCTTGTTTGGCTCGAAAATGCTTAAGACTCTGAAGAGAATATGAATGCAAAGAACCATTGTAAACAGCTCTTATTGCGTCGTACCGAAATTGTTCGTCAATTCATGCTCAGCAAGTAGAATTTTAGAAAATTCTTCTTCAGCCTGTTTTATGATGGGGCCGAAAGTGAGGATTGTGATGCCAATTTCCGGTTTCCGCTACATAATTCTGCATGCAAGGACAACGAGCGGCCGAATGTGGCCTAAACGTAGTTAAGAAATAGCATAAATGAAGCTAAATGAGAAGAAACATACCCCAACCCGGTATGCACATAATAACAAGATGTCCTTTGATAGTCATACTGAGCGCAAGAACCGATGATCGTTCGCGGACAGGATGGTGAGAGACTGTAGAGAGGATATGTACGTTGCTTTGCTGGCACATCATCTATCCGCTTCTGCCATTTTATACTCCAAAGACGATCCATGGACTCTGGGTGACTGACGAGTCTGGCTATCCTGTCATGTTCAGCCAGCGCAATAGATTGGTACGCATTCAGCCCATCTTATTTGGCACTAGGACATACCTATCTATATATACCCTCTGATAGGCGTGCATCAGAGGTACCCTTAATTATATTGATGAAGCTCCGCGTCGATTGAATCCTCATGGGAAGAAAGAGTGAACATATCTTCTGCAAATGACTGTTTCGGGAAAGACTTGAGGTTTGAATACAGATGGCTTGCCACTGTGATGGCGCATTGTCAGCCCATTCTCACAACGCTACAGCCTATTAGTGTACAGCAGGCCTATAGCGTAGGTGATGTATAACCGCGGTATACACTGAAACGGAGGGGTACTAGGTATAGGTGCCACTGTGTAATTTGTCAGAATAACCACGGAGTGATCGCCAAGGAGGTAGTGTCAGGATACCCTCAAAAACACTACTGATCTACTGATGAACATCTTTAGAGACCCAATATATCGAATAAGATTCACTGATTACTTTTAGGAAGCCTCAAATCTCCTACACTCGCCCAACATTTCAAAATCATTCTTGGGGCTCGAGCACGATCTATGTTGATGATCCTGGCAAGCGATATCCGTTCTTTTTCTCCTTACCCAACGGCTGATTAGAGTTTCAATGGGGGACGTTACGTGGTGTCATCGCCGCTTACGGGCGTTCTGAGCAACGCACGAACGGCATTGTTTCGGCTTACAAAGCTGTTTCTACTGCTTCTGGGTTCTGTTATGGACGGATAGCATGCAGTAGACGGGCATGCCCTTTCTGGCTGATATCTTGTTTGATCGTCTATTGAAGTAGTCCTGGTGTAACTTGTCATCTGTGAAGGGTGTTTGTGTTTAGGTAGGCCTTGGAGTTCCATGAATATAAGGATTTATTGTAGAGTTTCTCCTCAAAACCGGGAGTCATTTCTTGAGTGCCATAAGCCATCCGATTCAATAAAGTCCATACCCATTCCACTGACCCCCCCCCCCTCACGCGTACAGCCTACACGAGCAGATGAAACCTTCACACAAGATAACGGATGCACTTTTGAGAAAGGTCGATGTGCGGGTGTGATGGCATCTTTTGCATCTGCTTGGTGAAATTTTTATACCACTGATCGGCTATTTCGTATGAAACGACAAGCTCATATGATCGGTCAAAATGAGAGGCCAAGAGCAAAATGTAGTCCATTTTTATACATGAAGAGTTGTGCTCTACTACTAGATCGGGAAAACGGGCAATGGCACTTAATTTTCCTGTAGCGCTACACAAGCTAGCAAACTTCCACAGAAATAATGCTCTACTATTTTCGCTAGCTCTGGCTATGGACTTTTGAAGAAACTCCGCTGGTTTGAACCATTATGAGCGCCAGGACCCACGTCATGACTTAGCATCCTACCACTACCACATCCTCTGCTCATTCCCTCAGACTACGTGCACGCACTCCCGTTCATACGCCCAGAACAACATAAGAGTAATTTATTTCCCCCATTAACTCTCGAAGTAACTTGAAGTTGCTCCAGGAAGTCAGCAGTCAAGACATTCATGTATCATCGCCGTCGGTGAGTTTAAGCTAACCTTTATCTCTTAGCTGGTCCACATCAAACTGATCCATCTGCAGCAAAAACTGAACTATTTATTATCAAGTATTCGCTCCCTTTTATGCCTTTGAAGAGGTAGAATTGGGCCGATACCTACTGGATCTAGAGGTTTATGAGCCGGCCTTAGGTACGTATCTTAGTCACACCCTCTGAGTGTCCTACTTGCCAATTAATATTGCCATCCATATCTTATACAGATGTAATGGTAATTGCACCATGTATCAGATCACAGCAATAGGCTCAGAAAGTAGGGGAAGAGAACTCGGCAGCAATGGCGGAACTGGGTATGTCTTGATACCTCTCAAATTTTAATGAAGCTGCTCTAATAGATTCCTTGTTTCTGAAAGGATATGTGGTATTATTTGTCTGATGGTTTCGAAATCTGCCTTCCATTTCTCTTGACTTCTACTTCATGGCACCCCTCATGGTTTTGTCAACCGCCATAGTTACTAGCACCTCCTCATGTATTTAAATATGAAATATATCTCTATTGTTTTCTCCATAAATAACACCGAATTTTGGATAGGAATTATTGCATTCATTAAGCATTAATTACCAATCAATATGGTGCTAGTGATGCCTACTGAGACTACAGGCTCTATAGTTCAATGCATAGATGTCTGTAGTACCAGTGGCAGCTATGCTAGCGCAAAATGGCACGAGTTCTATGGAAGCTACGGATACTACCATAGTGTACATAAATTATAGAGGCTATGGACTCTATGGACGCTATATAGCTTCTGTAGCATTTGCCAACTTTCCTGATGAGCTCAAACTTCTCACAACTTCTACCGTACTGCAAGAACATTCTAGTTCAGCGATTCCCCTCTCATCTTTGCGTGCTTCTCATGAAACCTTGATAGGGGCTTTGCGTCATATAGTTGAAACATTCCTCGCTATTTACCCCGCTTTCATTTGATGGATAGTAGCTTTATAACAGAAAAAGATTTCGTTATTTCTTATACATTATTAATTTATTAGTCTGCAAGAATAGTATGTGAATCTGGTGGGAGTCGAGCTTGCAAAGGAAGAAAGTTGGACAATTTCCTTTTAAGCAAAAGAAGAAAAAATGTATTAAGCAAGAATCGAACTCGCGGCTGGTCGATGGTGGCAACCAAGGTTACCACCACCCCATTAATGCTTGAATAATAGATATGGTACACCATTGTTCATTGTTCATTGTTCAGTGAAGATCGAGATGTTTTTCTTGCCTTTTCCCTTCCCAAAGAACCTCTGGATAGCCATCCTCGTCCGTTTTCTTAAAGTCAGCTTGGAGAGGGCATAATACCACGTCGACCAGCAATCCTTGATGGTTTTGTTTGCTGTGCTCGCCTCCTCCAGAGAAATCGGGATATCCGACGATAAAGGACGATGGATATCAAATTCCCAAATCCCATCCAACGAATTCCAGTAGGCTATTGAAAAATCACCGAATTCGATGGAACGCAGAGTACAATTTGGCGGTCGAGGCGTCATATGAAGGTCGAAAGCACTACTTTTTTTGAGGGTACTAGGGCTCCCGCAGCACAGATGAAGCACCTCAATATTTGGATAATATGAAAGAATCTTAAATAATCCATCGAAGTTGACTTAGATATACAGTAATGAATTCGCTGGCCCACCATGATTCAAAATAAGGGTACGTACTAAGATATTCGCTAATGCTTCCCCACGCACCGAGCTTGGAAAGCATCCAGCAACCGATAAATCGTCAATAGAAGGCCATAAGTTTCCCGTATTTTCTATGCGTTCAAATTTATTCCGAAAAGGTAAACCAAGATGGTAAACACCCGTCATCGGATTACGTCTCAAAACGTTCAGATAATGATCATAATCATGATCATCAGGAACATCTACAAATTCTATACTCGCGAGGTTGCTGGCAAAAGGACTGATGTCGCAGAGAAGCTTAAACGTTCCTCTGAACGAGGTGAGCTGATGTAAAGGGAGCTGCTTCACCGCCTGGCAATCCTCGAGAAAAGGAAAGGGTCGAGAATATTCGCTAGGTTTTCCCATCTTGAAGGATCGAGCATAGGCCAGTCACAGCGAATGGAAACATGACTTGCACTTCGAATTCTGGCAAGTGCAGCAGGTGGGAGCTCTGCCAATGCCTCCACGTCGAAAGCGACAGAGAGGATTGGAGCTCTGATATATTCCAAAATGTCGAATAGAATTTTGGTAATATATGGTGACACATTGTATATCGACTCGGAGAGCCAGTGTGCCACAGATAGAATTGACTGCATCCGATCGGCGCAAGCTGAACCGTCCCGCACGTTGAATTCAAGCCATTTATACGAGCAAGAACCCAAATATCGCGTGAGACCGAACGGTCGAGGTCCGGAATATCCAAAGCTTCTAGAGCTTCGGTGTGGAAATCCAAGGGTACCAGGACGGGTACGGGTACTAGGACATATCTCGAAGATAGTAACAGGTCCTAGATTAGGAGCCATGTCGATAAGATCGGCCAGTTCCTGATACATGGCGGCCATCATGATGTTAAGGGCTTCCCAAAGCGAGCGCGATAGGTGAACATATTGTTTTTTATTTGCATCTCGACCCAACCGAATATCAGAGACCTCCATTTTTTTCCCATCAACCATAAACCACAGGGAAATAAGATTCTTGACATAGACGGGCGACCAATAGATGATCTGCATGCGTCGCAGTGCCGAGAGGATAGTCTTGTTCTGCGCATAAAACGCAATCCGTGCTCTTGAATGACACACCTGTGCGAAACAGGCTTGCTGATTCCATCTAAATGAGTGCCACCCAGTGGAAAACGTAGTTGTTTCGAAGATAAGAGGGACAGTTGCTGATCTGACGAGACGACATGCTTGGGAGAGATTGAGTAGATCACAGCGAATGAGTAGCTGTCGTGCTATCTGGAACCATATGTCGAATGGCAAGTCGACCATCGAAGAAGGCTGGGGAAGGTGGTTGAGTTGGCGAGAGACTGGTGGGAACCACGTCAAAATAATTTGTCAGCAGAGCGATCCGCAAACGCATTAAGCGCGCTGAAGGCTGTATTGATTTCTGCAGTTGAATTCGTGATCGGGCAAGTGCATAATGAGAGTGGAGGATACAATGAGGTAATAATTAAAAAAATCTGTATTCTCGAGGTTGCTTGGGGGTATGTTTATAACGACGAAGCATAACGGACAAGAATGGAGGGAAGTTGTGAAAAGGGCGCATAAGAAACTCAGTCTTGGGCTGTAGCTTCATCAATAGGGTGTTCGAGGTTTTAAACGACAGGTTTCAACGCACCATGAGGAGACCTACGAGACTATTGGAACGCCAAAAGTCTTCACGACACCCACAGGAACTTTCGTCGATCCTCCAAGGTTATTTAATATTGAGGATCCTATAAGTACTAGTAAATACGAACTAGAATGAGCAAACAAAGTGTTAGGTGACGACACAACTATATGTAAGAAGGTTCACATACCAAATCGACGCTAGCCTGTTTCGTGCCTCATAAGTCCTCCATTTGGTATCGGCCATAGTCCATTCCAACGTAAGAAGCAGCCAGTGTTGCGAAGCTAGAGTTCCAAAGAAGGGTCGTCTATATCGAGGTTTGGCTTCAAGGCAATGTGAACGCGGAAGTATGACGTTTGAACCCTAATATTCGATCCACACATGTTGCGTTTGATGATGGGAGGGTAATCGGCGCGATACTTCCCCATTGAGCCAAGGAATCTAGGTTCGTGAGGATGGTTGGTGCGTTGATGGAGCCGGTGAATTGTAGTGTGGCATTCGTTCATGCTGGTCACCAAAGGTCACTATGAAACAGGAACCTAGAACATCTACATCTTTTAAGCTATGAGTCTACAGACGCGTTGTAAAAGGTCGATATACGTACATCTGATCGACCCATAACGTACCCATCAAGTGGCTTATTTCTACCAGAGAGCAATGTGTATCCTTCTATTTAGCACGATGGATCACTATGGAACAACAGTACGTCAAATATAGGAAGAGGACATATGATCGAGACGTGCCTGCATGACCATGGTACATGGCAGCTTTTGTGACCCCTGTCTGATACAAATACGACCAGAGATCGTCTCCAAGAGTTGTGTGTAGGATATACAGGTGTAATAGAGTGAACGCGAGTCGCCCAGGGAGTAGATGCTGCTGCTTTGGAGCAATGAAGGTCAGCAGGAGCAAGGACGCTCACCCACGTTAGAACGAACCTGAAGGTACTGAATGACAGAATCTGGCGGTCCATGAGCATGGAGATTGAACTGGAGAGGGTAGTACAGCGAGGTGTCGGCCGTCAACTGCTGCAGAACGCGAAGCAGCGACTAGGACGGCAAGTAACAGCAAGTTCGGCGGGTATCAGCACGCTTGCCATACGGTGCGCGAGCTGTATCAGGTCTATTTTCCCGCACGTGAAGTCATCAAGCGCTGAACTATAACTGGTTCTCGCGAAATCTCACAACTTGAACCTTGCAAATGCTGTCCCATGGTATGTATCAATGCAGTATCCATTTAGAGGAATTAAGAAGAACGACATAAAGGGTGAGTTACGCCGTTATAGTGGAAAACAAGGACAGAAATGCGCGCGTCGTGAACTGTCACAGAAACGTGACACCATTTTCACACAGTCGAGTCGAATAGATGGAAAGAAAGACTATAAGTACATAGATAACCCACATAAGATTGGCATAGTAAAATGGAAATTTAAATCGAATGAAGAATAAAATAAAACAAAAAATTGTCGGCATCAGAATTATGATGTCACATCTTGCTGCAACTTGTCTGGCTCAAGGGCACTTGCAGCAAATTTGATGTCATTGTTTGCATACTGTGTAAATTATACACAAAGGTAGAATTAAACCTCAAATTTCACTGGGTGCTGGCTCACAGCTTACTATTACACCATGGCAATTGCAATGGATAAAAACCACAATGGTCCTCCCGAGGTTGGAATAGATAAATATTGCTAAAATTACATCCCCGCACTACATTTGCCTTTTTTACTTTTGCTCTGTCTTTCAAGACTTCACATGTAGGGCAATTTTGAATAAGGAGCCGCATACTAGGTAAGTCCCAGGCTAAGTCGTGACGCATGGGAAAAGATTGTGAAGCCCGGACAGCTTCGTCAGCAGCGCCCACAGCGGTCCCCCTCCACCGCCCACAGCAGCCCTCCGACTCCACCCCAGCTTCTTCTGCAGCCTCATGCAGACTCTTCGATGTAAACATGAGTTTTAAGAATTCTGTACACATTTCCTTCGACTTCGACTTCTGTCATTTTCAAAGAACAGAAGTATCATCAATAGTATGTTCAAGCCCTCCTCTAAGCATTTCGTTGCCCACCTTCCGTAATGTTTATAGATTACTTTCCAATAGGCGGATCCTCAGTCTCACATTATGGCAGCGGTCCCTTTCCTTGCTCTATGTTGAGGGACTCAAGAGACCGTCGGTCAGAAGCCACAAAACCCCAGGGTTCTAA